GAACCTATCAATTTTGTAAAATTTCAAACTTTAAATCCTTAAACTGCAGGAGTGTCTCATAGTGTGCACTTTTCGTCAATTCAGATCGATACAGTTATTCACTTTGCTGCTGACTGCACATCTACTCGATGCTACAATGAAACAATCGAGGCCATTGAGAACAATGTGATCGCTTTTATTGAATTTCTGGAAGCTGCAAAGGATTATGGAAAAATCAAGAAATTTGTTCATATCAGCACAGATGAGGTAAGAACTCCTCGATATATCAGTATCTGTGTTCATTTCCTTTTTTTTTTTTGAACATTTTCTATCCATTGGCCTTTATCGTAAAGTATTCTTGAGTCTAGAGAATTTTCTTGAAGAGCATCATCTCTCGCGAAAAATTACAATAATTTTAAAACTGAAGGAGACTCTTTTTGCAATAAAGCAGTAAAAGAAGCTTTCAGAGATGAAGATGTTCAAAAAAATTCACGAAAAGCTTTTTTTAGCTTTCAGAAAAGAAGAAGATTTCCGAATGTGTTACAGAAAACTACAAATAAGCTTTTAAAAAGGATGCTTTTCCCGGTGACTGAAAAATATGTACTCGATATTAGTGATGTTAGCTACATTGTCTTAGGGAAACTTCTCCTAATAATGTAATCATACAAATACATGGATTTATGCTAATGTCATGAGTATGTTTATGTTATTTCATTATGAATTTCAGGAAATATTTCTAGGTTTACGGGGATTCCGGACTTGGTGATGATGAAAAAGGAAAAGTTGAGGCTAGCCGACTTTTACCTGGTAATCCTTATGCAGCCACTAAGGTAAAACAGACTTACTAGGGCAATCGAATTTTTGCGAGCAAATACAAAATTTTCAGATCGCGGGTGAAGCGTATGTACGGGCGTTCACGTCTCAGTACAAGTTGCCCATTATCACAGCGAGAATGAACAATATCTATGGGCCAAACCAATGGGATGTCAAAGTAAGTAACCAGTCAGTGGAATTACCCAACTAATGTTTAAAAAATTATTTTTCATAGCAATACCATTTCAAGCAAATGTCCTTTTTTTCCTGTATCAAGTCAAATCTAAAAGCTCGAGAAAGTAAAATGAAGGCTTGTAGTTTCTTAATCATGAGAAAATTCTTCCGGTTTCTACACCAGTTGTTTATGTTTTACTTTCGTCTGGTTTAACTTGTTACCTGGTTGGTATTATTTACCCTATATCCACTTCCTGGCTTATGTACTTTTATAAAAAAGTTTATTGTATTAACGAAGAAATCGCTTTAGC